TTTTAAAAGTAAGATTTTAATCAATATCTCAATGAACACAAAGACCATTTCCAAAATGTTTACAAAACTCAGTTTTATAGAACATTTGTTTAGCTCATTATATGAAAGTGAGGTTAATAATATAACTTAGATTACAAAATCTTCAGTTTTACTCAAATTAGTTGATGCAAAAATGAATACACCGCACAACAAAACCTACTACATGTAGTATTTTGTATGACCTCCATGATTTGTAAGGACAGCACCAAGTCTTCTAGGCATGGAATGAACAGGTTGGCAACATATTGCAACATAAATCTTTTTCCATTCTTCAAGAACGACCTCTTTTAGAGCCTGGATGCTGGATGGAGAGTGATGCTCAACTTGTCTCTTCAGAATTTCATATAGATGTTTGATTATGACATACTTGGCCACTGAACCTCTTCCACCTTGTTCTTCAACAGAAATGCAACAGTGGCCTTAGGTGTGTGTTTTGGATCATTGCCATATTGGAAAAGTGCACAACGACCAAGGGCATGGAGTGATGGTAGCATCTTCTCTTTCAATATAGAACAGTACATCTGTGAATTCATGATACCATCAATGAAATGCAGCTCCCCGGCACCAGCAGCACTCATTCAGCACCACAGAAGGACACTGCCAACACCATGTTTCACTGTAGGCATCATACATTTTTCTTTGTACTCCTCAATGGCATACAGTTTTGAAGCCATCAGTTCCAAAAACATTTATCTTGGTCTCATCACTCCAGAGAACAGTAGTAGTCACAGTAGTTTTCTTCTTTTTTCAGCATGGGCCTTGGCAAATTCTAGGTGGGCTTTTTTGTGCATGGGCTTTAGAAGAGGCTTCCTTTGTGGACAACACCCATGCATGCCATTCCTCTGCAGTGTATGCCGTATTGTCACTTCTGTAGCCCAATGCAGTGAACTTGCATGGCAATTTTCCTCACCCTTCTCATCAGAAGATGCTCCTGTTGAGGTGTTAATTTCTGTAGACAGCCTGGACGTCTCTGTGAGATGGTTGCAGTTCCATCTTTGCTAAATTTTTGTGTCACTTTTCCTACAGTATTCTGACTGATAAATAAAGCTTTGCTGATCTTCTTGTAGCCCTTCTTGTGTAAAGAAATTATTTTCTTTCTCAGGCCTTGTGACTTTTCTCTTCCATGTGCTGTCATTGCTGACAGCATGACATGGGAAGGGGTTTTCTTTCTTAAGTAACACACTTTTATAATCAACTGTCTGATGGAAACCTGTTTAATTAATAATTAGACTCACCTATAGTTGAATTCTTGTTATTTAGGATTTTGTTGTCTAAAATGTAGCTTTGCTCCTAAGACTTTCATTGGGGTGTATTCATTTATGCCACATGGTCTTGAATGAATTTGTTAGGAAAAATTATTTTTTGTGTGTGCAAATTAACAAATCTTGTTTGCAAACAATGGCCTGTATTTGTGGGAGTATTTTGTAGTATAGTGTCCCATAGCAAATGCTGATTCTGAAAGGAAAGTAAAGGTTTTCTGACAAATCTATTGGAATTTACTCATTTATGCTGAGCAATGTAGATCTATGTTTGTCCCACTCATCTTTTTTAAGCCACTTACTTTTGATTGACTCTCTGCTAGAAGTCTATTCCAAGACTTTATTACTCTTTCAGTAAAATAATAATTTCAAAACATTAGTTTTGAACTATCCTCCTGCCGGTTTGAGGTCATGTCACCGTGTTCTTGGTCTTGGTTTCATATTGATAATACTGACCTCCTGAACCTTATTCACACCCTTGATGTATTTAAAGGTTTCAATCGTGCATCCCCTTTCCTTCTTTCCTCCAGACTGTATATATTAAGTTCCAGAGGGTAGTGGCCCATCTATCATACCATTTTTTTGACATATATCAATAAAAACCAGCGCAAACCCACATAATCAATTGCATTACTCAACTTATTAAACAAACTTAATAAAAACTTAATTAAATTCATAAGTCCAGTGACAAAAAAATCCCAAAAAATTAATTAATTAATTGATTTTTTTGTCACTGGACTTATGAATTTAATGTTTTTTTATTTATAAATTTATTTATATATAATTTATTTTTTATTTTATATATTTTTTTACTAGCACAAAAGTGGTTTTGTGTCACGGTCTTTAAGTTTGTTTAATAAGTTGAGTAATGCAATTGATTATGTGGGTTTGCGCTGGGTTTTTATTGATATAAGTTTTTTTGGTTTTTGTACCTGTGTACAGCAGCATCTCACGGGGAATTGTGTGTGTAATAAGAGAGTCCTGGGCGCTGAGGTTTTGTTTTCTTTACATTTTTTTGACATGCCTAACCTATTAGCCTCAAAAACGGCCATTACTAATTTGTCTAAGATTTGTCTCTTATTGCCTTTAGAGATGAGCGAAGTATTCAAAAATTCGATTCGGCTGATTCGGCGAATTCGCGGAATAAATTAGATTCGAGTCGAATATATTCGCTGCGAATTTAACTTATAAAAAGGGTGTTTCTAGGCTTCAGAGAGCCTTTATATTAGTGCAGAACACTGTACCTTTAATTTAAATGCCCTTGGAGTCTGCTGGGGAAGAGAAATAATACTGTCAGTCAGTATGACATGCAGATGAGTGCCGTCGATCTTAGAATCACCGCACACTTCACTCATTTGGGCAGTCATGGGGCCAAAACCAGAGTGTGGAGCCACAGTGTGGCGGTGGAGGCAGCAGCAATGGGAGGCCATACAGCACCCTATGACAAAATGGAACCCACCAGCAGTGTGAGGAGACCTGAAAGTGGCACATGGCAGAGAGTGGCGATGGAGACAGCAGCAATGGGAGGCCGTACAGGGACCCATGAGACACTCTGGACCTGGCAGCAGCATGAGGAGTCGGTACGGGGGCCCATGGCAGATTACGGGCCTGGCAGCAGCAATGGGAGGCCCGTAATCTGCCAGCACCCTATGACAAAATGGAACCCACCAGCAGTGTGAGGAGACCTGAAAGTGGCACATGGCAGAGTGTGGCGATGGAGACAGCAGCAATGGGAGGCCGTACAGGGACCCATGAGGCACTCTGGACCTGGCAGCAGCATGAGGAGGTGGTACGGGGGCCCATGGCAGATTACGGGCCTGGCAGCAGCAATGGGAGGCCCGTAATCTGCCAGCACCCTATGACAAAATGGAACCCACCAGCAGTGTGAGGAGACCTGAAAGTGGCACATGGCAGAGTGTGGCGATGGAGACAGCAGCAATGGGAGGCCGTACAGGGACCCATGACACACTCTGGACCTGGCAGCAGCATGAGGAGGCGGTACAGGGGCCCATGACAGATTACGGGCCTGGCAGCAGCATGAGGAGGCGGTACGGGGGCCCATGGCAGAGTGGCGAAGCGTAAGCAGCTTAAATTGAAGGCCATACAGAGGCCTATGTTAAAAATAATAACATGTTTGGGGCATGATTCATGGCGGATTTAGTCAGTTGTGTCAGGAACTGGTGGTTTGAAATCCAGACTAATCCACGCCTGATTCATTTTCACAAACGTGAGTCTCTCCACACTTTGGGTGGACAGTCGTGTCCTCCGCGGAGTTACAATACCTCCTGCCGCACTAAACACGCGCTCCGATGCCACGCTACTGGCCGGGCATGACAGCCTTTCAAGGGCAAATTCAGCTAGTTGGGGCCAAAGGTCAAGTTTCGTTGCCCAGTAGTCAAGGGGATTGTCTACCTCGGTTGGCAGGGTGCTGTCCAAGTAGGCCCAAGCCTGTTGTTTGAGGTCCTGCTCCAGGTCCACCTGATGCTGCTGCTGCTGCTGCGGCTGGTTAGTAGTTTCCTCACTGCGCTGGTGAAGAAAGCTACTCATCATCGACTGCAGACTGAGGCAGCCGCTGCTGGTGGAGCTGCCACTGCTGCTACCACCCCACCCCTCCCCTGCTGCCATGGCAGCGGAACGCGAGCGCACAAGGCCCACAGTGTCTGAGGATGGACGTTGGCGCAGAAAGGCAGAGACCAACTGACTACATAGGTGGTTTTTATAGTACGTTATTTTGGCCTCCCTCTCAGCAGGTGTGAAAAAGGCCACCATTTTTGAACGGTAGCGAGGGTCCAACAAGGTGGACAGCCAAAAGTCATCCCTCTGTCTGATGGTTATTATTCGGCTGTCGCTACGCAAGCAACCGAGCATGCTATGGGCCATTTGTGCCAAGGAATGCGAGGGACTCCCTGCCTCCATCTCCACAGCATACTGCCACGGTGCGTCTGGGTCCTCTGTCTCCTCCTCCTCCTCCTCTACCAGATGCTCCTGCTCCTCCACTCCTGTCCGCTGAGTGGAAAAACCACCCATTTCACTCAATAATTCCTGAGCACCAATGTCCTCCTCTACCTCCTCCTCTTCTTCCTGTCCTGCCCCCACAGGGGTCATGTGGCGTTGAGATCTGTGCGCCACGTCTACCGCACCCTGACCAGCCATTGTTAACAGCATTTGTTCCAGGACGTGCAACAGAGGAATAACGTCGTTCATCCCATAGTCCTGCCGACTCACGAATAGCGTGGCCTCCTCAAAGGGCCTGAGCAAGCGGCAGGTGTCACGCATGAGCTGCCAATGGCTGACATCTAAGTTACACAGGGGAGTACCTTTATCCGCTTGTAACATCAGGAAATCGGTGATGGCCTTTCGCTGTTCGTAAAGGCGGTCTAACATATGTAGGGTTGAATTCCACCTTGTTGCAACGTCACAGCATGAGGAGTCGGTACGGGGGCCCATGGCAGATTACGGGCCTGGCAGCAGCAATGGGAGGCCCGTAATCTGCCAGCACCCTATGACAAAATGGAACCCACCAGCAGTGTGAGGAGACCTGAAAGTGGCACATAACAGAGTGTGGCGATGGAGACAGCAGCAATGGGAGGCCGTACAGGGACCCATGACACACTCTGGACCTGGCAGCAGCATGAGGAGGCGGTACAGGGGCCCATGACAGATTACGGGCCTGGCAGCAGCAATGGGAGGCCCGTAATCTGCCAGCACCCTATGACAAAATGGAACCCACCAGCAGTGTGAGGAGACCTGAAAGTGGCACATGGCAGAGTGTGGCGATGGAGACAGCAGCAATGGGAGGCCGTACAGGGACCCATGAGACACTCTGGACCTGGCAGCAGCATGAGGAGGCCGTACAGGGACCCATGACACACTCTGGACCTGGCAGCAGCATGAGGAGGCGGTACAGGGGCCCATGACAGATTTCGGGTCTGGCAGCAGCAATGGGAGGCCCGTAATCTGCCAGCACCTTATGACAAAATGGAACCCACCAGCAGTGTGAGGAGACCTGAAAGTGGCACATGGCAGAGTGTGGCGATGGAGACAGCAGCAATGGGAGGCCGTACAGGGACCCATGACACACTCTGGACCTGGCAGCAGCATGAGGAGGCGGTACAGGGGCCCATGACAGATTACGGGCCTGGCAGCAGCAATGGGAGGCCCGTAATCTGCCAGCACCCTATGACAAAATGGAACCCACCAGCAGTGTGAGGAGACCTGAAAGTGGCACATGGCAGAGTGTGGCGATGGAGACAGCAGCAATGGGAGGCCGTACAGGGACCCATGACACACTCTGGACCTGGCAGCAGCATGAGGAGGCGGTACAGGGGCCCATGACAGATTACGGGCCTGGCAGCAGCAATGGGAGGCCCGTAATCTGCCAGCACCCTATGACAAAATGGAACCCACCAGCAGTGTGAGGAGACCTGAAAGTGGCACATGGCAGAGTGTGGCGATGGAGACAGCAGCAATGGGAGGCCGTACAGGGACCCATGACACACTCTGGACCTGGCAGCAGCATGAGAAGGCGGTACAGGGGCCCATGACAGATTACGGGCCTGGCAGCAGCAATGGGAGGCCCGTAATCTGCCAGCACCCTATGACAAAATGGAACCCACCAGCAGTGTGAGGAGACCTGAAAGTGGCACATGGCAGAGTGTGGCGATGGAGACAGCAGCAATGGGAGGCCGTACAGGGACCCATGACACACTCTGGACCTGGCAGCAGCATGAGGAGGCGGTACAGGGGCCCATGACAGATTACGGGCCTGGCAGCAGCATGAGGAGTCGGTACGGGGGCCCATGGCAGATTACGGGCCTGGCAGATGACGACGAGGCTGCCAAGTGCGATCAGCCTCATCATCATCAATTAGGGTCTCCGCCTCACTACTAGCCCCCTCGGCTGCGTGTGGGTCAGGAGACAGACCTGTCTCTAGACCGGCTACCGAGCCACTCTCCTCGCCAGTACTTCTTCGCCTGACTGCTGAAGAGGCGGATGTCTCCCCCCGTTCCTGACCGCCGCCCTCTTGTTAGCTCTTCCTCACTGTACAGTGGGGCTGAGCCCACAGCATGCCATGCCAACTAACGGTTGTGTCTGACGTACCCACCGACCGTTGGCTGTAGGTGTCAGAGGTGAACTGGGAAGAGGAAGACGACCGAGCCAACCAATCGATGACGGCAGGGTTGTCGGTGGAGACACGACCGCTGGATGACACCGGTAGCACTGGCCTCTGGCTGCGACTAGTGCTGCCTCGACCCCTTCCTCAGCTGCCACGTCTGCTCGCTCCTGAAACATTGCCTCCTCTGCCACTCCTCTGCGTGTTGTCTGACATACTCTTTAATTCAACGATTCTGTGTCTGTGTCCCTGAGTAACAATTCTGTGTCCCTGAGTAACAATTCTGTGTCCCTCAGTAACGATTCTGTGTAACCTGTGTCCCAGTAACAATTCTGTGTCCCTGAGTAACAATTCTGTGTCCCTGAGTAACAATTCTGTGTCCCTCAGTAACGATTCTGTGTCCCTCAGTAACAATTCTGTGTCCCTGAGTAACAATTCCCTGAGTAACAATTCTGTGTCCCTGAGTAACAATTCTGTGTCTGTCCCTGAGTAACAATTCTGTGTCCCTGAGTAACAATTCTGTGTCTGTCCCTGAGTAACAATTCTGTGTCCCTCAGTAACAATTCTGTGTCTGTCCCTGAGTAACAATTCTGTGTCTGTCCCTGAGTAACAATTCTGTGTCCCTGAGTAAAAATTCTGTGTCCCTCAGTAACAATTCTGTGTCTGTAACCCTGAGTAACAATTCTGTGTCCCTCAGTAACAATTCTGTGTCCCTCAGTAACAATTCTGTGTCTGTCCCTGAGTAACAATTCTGTGTCCCTCAGTAACAATTCTGTGTCCCTGAGTAACAATTCTGTGTCCCTGAGTAACAATTCTGTGTCTGTCCCTGAGTAACAATTCTGTGTCCCTGAGTAACAATTCTGTGTCCCTCAGTAACAATTCTGTGTCCCTGAGTAACAATTCTGTGTCCCTCAGTAACAATTCTGTGTCTGTCCCTGAGTAACAAAGTAACAATTCTGTGTCCCTGAGTAACAATTCTGTGTCCCTGAGTAACAGTAACAATTCTGTGTCCCTGAGTAACAATTCTGTGTCCCTGAGTAACAATTCTGTGTCCCTGAGTAACCTGAGTAACAATTCTGTGTCCCTGAGTAACAATTCTGTGTCCCTCAGTAACAATTCTGTGTCCCTGAGTAACAATTCTGTGTCCCTGAGTAACAATTCTGTGTCTGTCCCTGAGTAACAATTCTGTGTCCCTGAGTAACAATTCTGTGTCCCTGAGTAACAATTCTGTGTCCCTGAGTAACAATTTTGTGTCTGTCCCTGAGTAACAATTCTGTGTCCCTGAGTAACAATTCTGTGTCCCTCAGTAACAATTCTGTGTCCCTCAGTAACAATTCTGTGTCCCTGAGTAACAATTCTGTGTCCCTGAGTAACAATTCTGTGTCCCTGAGTAACAATTCTATGTCTGTCCCTGAGTAACAATTCTGTGTTCCTGAGTAACAATTCTGTGTCCCTGAGTAACAATTCTGTGTCCCTCTTTAACAATTCTGTGTCCCTGAGTAACAATTCTGTGTCCCTCAGTAACAATTCTGTTTCCCTCAGTAACAATTCTGTGTCCCTCAGTAACAATTCTGTGTCCCTCAGTAACAATTCTGTGTCCCTCAGTAACAATTCTGTGTCTGTCCCTGAGTAACAATTCTGTGTCCCTGAGTAACAATTCTGTGTCCCTGAGTAACAATTCTGTGTCCCTCAGTAACAATTCTGTGTCCCTCAGTAACAATTCTGTGTCTGTCCCTGAGTAAGTAACAATTCTGTGTCCCTGAGTAACAATTCTGTGTCCCTGAGTAACGATTCTGTGTCCCTAAGTAACGATTCTGTGGCCCTAAAGTCTCTCTGGCCCTAACTCTGTCCCTAATACAGACAGGTCTGTCTCTCTTGAATGACCGGAGGCTAATGGAGAATTGTAAGATGGCCGCAATTTATAGCTCCACCATTACACAGTGCTGGCTGGATGTCTGCTGATTGGCTAATGCGATCACATGTCATGAATGAATGCATTATGGGTCAGCGCGCCTTGTCTGCGCGCCTTCCCAGAGATCCCCGCTCCATCGCCACACATGTCGCCGCCATTTTTGGGAAAATTCGATTCGTGCACCCGAAGTTGGCTAATTTTCGGATTCGGCGCGAATCGAATATTTCCCAATATTCGAAACGAATTCCACTTCGCCATGTTCGATTCGCTCATCTCTAATTGCTTTCAATAGGGTCAGGAGGGTCAGGATTAAAAACTTCATTAATGTTTGGCAAATCTGCCCCGACTGAACCCAGGTATGTTTAGCTCATCACTATTCCCTACCAGAATAAGCTTGCCACAACAACCACTGGCAGTAGCCAACGTTAATTGCAATAGTAGCAACTGTATTTTGTTCTAGGAATTTAAGCAGTGAGATCTGCTTTGCATTGTTCCCGCATCCATGCTGACCTACTTTGGAGTCTCTTTTCCACTACAAAATGTAGCTTTACTCCTATTCCTGCTGTTGCATTCTATTTAAAAATTCAAGAGGAGAGTGAACCTTTTCTAATTGCTGCAGTTAATGTGCAGAGCAAAGAATCCTGAGGGAAGATCTTAACAATGAACCCTAAAGGTAATAGAGGTATATTAAATGTTTTAAAATGTATCTCTAGTTAAAACTTTTCGTTTAGTTTTAATTAGAATCCAGTTTGGTTTGAACCCCCTTTTTTCTGTCTTTATTTGGGTGATTCTCTCTCACTATGTCCTGGTGACAATATTAGAACTGGTGCTGGTCTGAGGTCTGAGGTCTGAAGAGGAGTTAGCCAGTGGAGATTAAGGTGGACTGATCTGAGGTCTAAAGGAGGGTTTGGGGGGCTGAGATGGGGGTCTGAAGGGGTGTTAATGAGGGCTTTTCTGAGGACTGGAAGATAGTTTTGGGGGGCTGAAGACTGAATTAGAAAGGGGAGCCGATATGGGGTCTTAATGTTAAGGAGAGGTGAATTGGGGTCTGAATGTTAAGGAGAGAGCAGTGATTTTTTTTTTCCCCTTCAACCAATTTCAGAGCTTTTTCTCATACTTTTTCTCATACCAACCCATGACACCAGGCATTTTTTTCTATCACTGTCTACCAACAATGGGATATTTCATTTTTCTTGTATTGACCATTCACACAAGGAACCTTTTTTCTCCCACTGACCACCAATGTTGGGGCATTTTTCCCTTCCACTGTCTAGCAATATAAAATGAACTATAATACATTATCTTAACAGCTACACTATATACGCTGTAAAGAAATTGGATTGTGCTGGTGGACAGTTAATGGCTTGTAGGTATTAATAGTCATTATATTAAAAAGTCCATTAAGTCCATAAATGTATATATATATAGCCTTCAACAGGTGATCTAAATCTAGCTGCAGCTCCCCTTAGAGTAAAGCAAACCATGTAGGACATAAAAAAAGATACAAGCGGGCACCAGACTAAGTGTAGAAGTATGAGTACTGGGGTTATTCAACAGACAATTGGCTACTTAAAAAAATAGGAGAATACAGGCATATCTGTATATACAAGAGGCCATGCTAGCTGATGTTTCCGAAGTCATCTGCTTGTCTCTTAGCATATGCTGCTTATAGAATGCTTGTAGAAATAAATGCTTTGAAATGCATCTCCCTATTGGCCAGCAGCTCTCCTGACTTCCTGCTGATGTCACTTACCGTCTGGCGGATTCCGCATTCCACGCTGGTTATTGCCACTCTCCATCAGTGCTCTGCCATCTATCCTCTCACCTACAAGTGGCAGCAGCTTTAAATATGCTGAGAGACAACAGATGACTTTGGGAACATCAGCCAACCCCCACATATATATATATATATTCCTGTTTTCTTCCATGTTATGTGAGTAGTCAATTGGCTCTTTAATAAACTCTGTACTCATACTGCTACACTTAGTCTGCCGCCCCCCCTTGTGTCTCTTTTTACTAGGTACACATTGTGCTGTATGTGACATGGTATTTATTTTCTTAACAGGTGCTGTTTGCTAAGTAGATCACAGGTGTTTTAATGAAGTTTGGAGACCAACTTTAGGACCTTATTTACAATGAGACATGATTCCAAATGTACAAAAGCTTTATTTTGGGGTTACATACACATTTTTTTCTTTTTTTTCCTAGGTCCAAAAACAAAGTGGAGTACATCCCATTGTTCGGTTAATTTTCCAAGCCTTTATTTATTCCTAAATTACCTTATCTTATGGCATTCATATAGGATATT